ACACAGACACACAGACACACAGACACACAGACACACAGACACACAGACAGACACAGACAGACACAGACACACAGACACACAGACACACAGACACACAGACACACAGACACACAGACACACAGACACACAGACACACAGACACACAGACACACAGACACACAGACACACAGACACACAGACACACAGACACACAGACACACAGACACACAGACACACAGACACACAGACACACAGACAGACAGACAGACAGACAGACAGACAGACAGACAGACAGACAGACAGACAGACACAGACAGACACAGACAGACAGACAGACAGACAGACAGACAGACAGACAGACAGACAGACAGACAGACAGACAGACAGACAGACAGACAGAGAGACAGACAGACAGACAGACAGACAGACAGACAGACAGACAGACACAGACAGACAGACAGCCAGACAGCAAAACAGCCAGACTGCCAGACAGCCAGATATCCAGACAGGACACAAACAAACAAACAAACAAACAAACAGACAACCAACCAAATAAAGAAACACACAAACAAACAAACAAACAAACAAACAAACAAACAAACAAACAAACAAACAAACAAACAAACAAACAAACAAAAACACAAACAAAAACACAAACAAACACACAAACAAACACACAAACAAACAAACAAACAAACAAACAAACAAACAAACAATCAATCAAACAAACAAACAAACAAACAAACACAAACAAAAAAAAGAAAGAAAGAAAGAAAGAAAGAAAGAAAGAAAGAAGGAAAGAAGGAAAGAATCAAACAAACCAACCAACCAACCAAACAAACAAACAAACAAAACACAAACAACCAAATAGACAAACACACAATCAAACAATCAAGATTACAAGCAACCACCGCAAACAGGCAAACACACCAGCAAGGCATCTACGCAGGCACAGCAATACAGACAAACACAAGCACGCGCCTAGCTGTTTGGGCCTAACCGGCGCCCCCACTCTAACAGCAGCCACGACCGCGACGCGCCGCCACAACTGCAACCGCAGCCGCCACAGCAACTCCGAACTCCCACCACAACCAGAACCAGAACCCTCACCCACAGAAATCGTCGCCGCAAAGTTGGCGAGTGAGGTTGCTATAAGTTGCCCGGAAAACACACTGACGTCAAAGACATGCTCGGGTCACTTATTGGGAGTTGCGGGGGAGTACAATCCACTTATGCAAGTCCATACTCTTGCGTAGGCTGTGCAGGAACCCATTTATGCACCCTGCTATGAACATGGGTTTATCCAGACTCCTGCAACCCTGGATGCAATCTCAGTCGACAGGATAATTTTACGAGGGTCAAAATACCGTCTAGTGAGTAACAATCAGTTGGCGCATAGCCAACCAGCGGGCGGACACCGCTGAGGCTCTTGAACCAGCCTAGACCCAGGGCCCACGAGATCACTTTCAGGGTGTCGCAGGCCATCATGGATTGCATCGGTTGCACGTGACGCTCCTGCACGGCTCAGGACTCCCTTTTGCCGGGCCGCATGGGGCCCACTTTGCTGCCCAAAGGACCTGGAAATAGAAGGCGAACCTTTGTGGGCCACGACTAAAATAGAAAATCCAACTGGTTAAAAGGTCGGCTTTGGACAATTGAGTCAATGGGCGCAACAGGTGAGGATTAATCTCCAAAAAATAGAGAGGCCTGTGACTGCTTCAAAAGACACCACAAAACTCGAGAAACTGCCTTCCTCACTTGCCCAGCGGCCGTGGGAAAAAGGCGGCCCTTGTTCGCTCTTAAAGGAAAATCCTTCCAACACATCCACTAGAAAGACCAAGACTATAAAGTCCAGGAGGGGGGGTGGGGGCCAAGGGAGGGCGAGGGGCTTCCTTCCCCCCAAAAGAACTGCTGGGCAGAGCGAAGCAACCAGCCCGACCGACTCAGCGACTCTCGTCCTGCATATGGCCCGAGCGCAGGACAAAGCCGTCCATTGGGCTGCACGTGTCCACAACGTACATGGCTGAGGCGTACTGGCCGTCGGGTTGAACTAGAGTTCCTATACGAACCAATTGTCACCAAGAAATCGGTGTTGCCAGTGACAGGCGCCTTTTGGGGGGCTGGCCACCGTGGCTCCTTCCTTTGGGTCTAGCGCCTTTGGGTAGGGAGCGGGGCCCCCAGAAATGGGAGGAGCCCTTTGCCCAACTCTCAACACATTGCTCCTGGTACCAGCTGGCGATGTTGCCGTTCTGCACCTGGCAAACCCCACCCTAAACCCCACCTTTAAGCCGGCCATTTTGGGTTGTGGCTGGATAGCCTCTTTATAGCCCTTTAAAGCCTCTGATGTTTCAGGTATGCACATTTGGGGTAAGCAAGATCTCGGAACGTACTAGAAATTCACCAACCCCACTGAAGAACGCTGCAACGTGTCTCCGTGCTTAGCAGAAAGATATGGCGTTCTCTCAACGTATTGGAGTGGGATAGAAGACATGCAATGGGCGCCCGAAAAGCTACAACAAAGGGCTTCCGATTTAGGAAACACTTCGGTATTGTACCAAAAACGAGAGTTGTCCCGTCCCCTCCGAATGATGGTTGGGTTCATATGTTTTAACTTTCACACAAAAGCCAGAAACACGCGATGGAATCCTTGCTCTGTCACTTGAGATATCTGGGAGACGCAAATCGCGCTTCCCCCCCAACCCAAACACATTACAAATAGGTAGCGAGTAAAAACCCTGGAGTGTGAAATGATTCTGTGCCAACCCAGCCGAGGTGTCGCTTCCGCCGGCCGGCATTTTTAAACAAAATGCTGAGAGCCCTGCGCACTGGCAGAAGCTGTCTTGCCACCCATCCTTCTTTCTCGGCACGGCCTGATTCTCATTCCGAATCGCGAGCGACAGGCGTTAGGGGCTTGGGCCTGCTTGAGAACGGGGCCCCTTCTCAGATACCAAAGTGGGTCATCCTCGTGACTACTTCATCACGAAGCATAGAACCCGGGCAAGGGCTCACACGGTGAGGAAACGAGTCAACACCTTGCAATGAAATGTTGCAAACAGCGACGTGAAGCAACTCATCCATTCCTTCTCTCCCCGCTGCCTATTCTTAGCACCATCGATGCGTTACCTGCTCCACTCCTCCGGGCCGAAGCAATGACAAGGCAATTCTGGCCAGGGCATGCTGTGCCTCGCAGTGCGATTTTCACAAGGAAAATCGCGCTGAACAGCAACTATGTATTGTACAGTTTGACAGCAAGCCCCAAAGATTGGTCCGACCTCAAAGAGAGATCTGCCACATTTGCACTCTTTCCAATGATAGGCTAGATGCGTGAATCTATCAAGACGACCCTTCTATGAACCTCTGGCTTGTGGAAAAAACAAAACGAGAGAAATATAGCATAATTTTCTGCCAAACCAAAGGCCACGGGGCGCCAAATGAACTGCATAGTGAGCCACGTTCACTAAAAGAAGGTGGGCCACGGTCGTGATCTCCTTTACAGAAACGTTTGTATGAATCGTCCGAAAAGTTTATGGAGGGGTTGATGACCGGCCCCGCCAACGTTCCGTGGGGCTTCCGTAAGATCGATAGAGTAGTATTCTGGCGATGTCTTCTTTAATATTAAACGCACCTTCTGGGGTAGGGGGCGGCCCACTTGGAGAAAAGCAGAAACGTCTGAATATCTACACCGGCGCAAAGAGACCGGATTCGTCCACGGCTGGATTCCGCTTACACCCCAAAAACGGGGCCTCTGCCGTCCCCTTTTGGTTCCCCGGCGATCTCGTCCTTCAGCCATGCTGAGAGCCCCTGGCCGTTCGATCCGGACACCGGAAACTGATCCCAGAACGGAATCCCCGGCAACAGGTCTGAAGTGAGAATCTCGGGCGGTCCAACTTTTGGAGGTGTCATCTGTAAAAGGGTTGCTCACAAAGGAGGTGCGCCGAATTTGGGGGACATCACACGCGCCCCGAGTTTTCTCAGAATCCTTTTCGACTCGCCTGCGCCCAGGAAAAGGGAAACTCAAGGAACTCGATTGCCCGCGTTCTCCCCAAACGTGTGGCCTGGCTTGCTTCTTTCAGCTTGAAAACAGCTGAGGGTCTTTCTCTGTATGCTTGAGGTTACCCTTTTCTGGGAGACTAAAAGGAATGCCCGCCATGATGGACGCGCAATCCATTTTGCGCCGTTCGGAACCCCGGGTTTCTGCTTCGATTCCCCAACACAAATCCGCCGACGCAAGCAGCGGCTTCCTTCCCGCGGCTTCATTTCGTGCCGGGAACTCCGGGGAACCCAGAAAGAGTACTCGGTGGCTTTCTGCTCTGCTAAAAGTTTAACTTTTAGTGGTTTGATGGAAAGCCCATGAGTTGGCAAAAGGTTAAAGTCCCAACATCCGAGTAAAATGCGAGGAGTATGTTGGGGGGACCGTGGGAACCTTCAAAATCACACCTTCAGCTTGCCCCAGAGCGGCGTTTTCGGGTGTTTTATCCGGTGTCCTGCGCCGCGGTGTCCAGGGGCTCGTCGGGCTGCTCCGGGTCATACTCGTAGTCGGTCGCCACGTGGACCTTCCCGGACGTTTTTAAGGCACAAGAAGCGAAGCCTGAGGGCATGCTCGCTTCTCCGCGCACTCAGACCGCCTGTTGTTGCTTTCATTGCTTTCTCACTTCTCACATCTCCCTGACTCATACCTCGACTTGTATATGCTGACACCTTGTCAGCCTCCAGTTGAAGGGAAACCCGAAGCCCTGAAAAGGTGCAGGGTGCTGACCCGGGAGTGATAACCAAGGCGTCCCTGTTCGGGGATCCAAATGTCCTTGAAGATTGGTGTGCATCAGGTGAACATGGTTACTCTAGAAGGCGTCAACCTCCCCATGAACACCGCAATCAAATTTCAGTTGGTGAATGATGCAGATTCTGATCAAGCCCATGATTCAATGACATGCTGAGCTGCACAAGCTCAGAGACATTCCCAAAACTGTCAAGCGATCGTTTCCTTTGAGCCTTCTTGGTGCTTCGCTGCCACTCATCTTTTTGCAGCTTCCGAGCGCGCCACGCAGGTGTTCTGCTTTCGCACTGACTGCTAGATGTCAGTCTACTCGACTTTCGTCGGAGGACCACGTTTTGAAGGCATGCAATGCGGCACCACTGTAACTTCACCGCAAATCCACTGGAAGTCTTCCCAATCCATCCACCAAGTGCCATCTGCCTGACAGTGTGGAATGGGCACGGCGGGTGCTTTGCGTTTGGCTACTTTTAGTGGCTTGCAAATTGCAAGGTTTGAATGTTTTGTGGTGCTCAACCATGAGGCATAGTAGATACATATGAACCATCCCATGGGGAGAACAAAACACGTGAAACCGCCAAGGAGTTTGGTATGGTTCGACACGACTCCTCGAAGCTCGCGAGCTCCTCTGATACTTTTGGATGTGTTGTCCACTCTTCTTGCTGATCACCCCATGGTCCTTTCCACTCCTTGGCGCCTCCCCATGGATTTCGGATACAAACCTCTGCTGCATTTGGCGAAAAAGAAGTCATGGTGCATCTGATGTCTTTACTCTAAGGGCGAAAACATGAATATATATATAGATATATATGTACATATACAGTATATACATATACTAAGATACAACCAACCAACAGTCAAACAAACAATACCCGAACTATCCAAGAAGCCAACTTCACGCCGTCCACCTCCTTGGCGCCCAAGAGGGAATATGCATGGTGCGTCTTGAGGCCCTGCTTATTGTTCGCCTTCTTGTTCCACTCGTCCTCTTGATAGTACACACCCGTCACGAGGGGGAAGTTTGCCTGGTCGAGCTCACAGAGAATCGGCCACATGTCCTCGACCGGTAGATTCCTCTCGTCATATTCCAAGCCCTCAGCAAGGTGCTGCTTCTCCTTGCCTTGGATCTGCAAATCTGCGAAGCGCGCATGCCCCCGCCCCCAAAAATGGAGAAAGTAGGGGGCCTGGGGGGTGGTCTGTTGAGGGTTGCCTGTTCTGGTTTTTATGTTCATCTCAAATCTGTGTTCCCCCTTATTCGTTTTTAAAAGAGGGTTTTTAGGGAGCTTATTTATCGTTTTCGTTAAGGTAATCATTTGGGTAATTTCTCGCCTGTTTCATTGTTGGGCTGGGGGCCGACATTTTTTTCATTTGAAAGAGTTAGCCCTTATAGTAGTTATAATGTTCTGGGGTGTTGGGTGGGTCATTTGTTTTGACATCGTTTTTACCATTAATTCGGTCGTCCTGCCCGCCCTATGCTCCGACTTCAACAACTTCATCTCTGAAATGTCGGGTTGCCCAGCTTTCTTGGTCTCACTGAGCGGGGAGAGTTTGACTTGATTAAATCAACACAGACACATCCGGATACAACCATTAGTTGTGTCATGCTTTGACAAAAAGCAATATTTCGGCTCTTTGACCAGCTCGTTTTCTTGAATTGTCTGCTTCGTCATGTCTGGCTACAGCAAGGACATTGACGAGAAACTTGCCGTTCAGTTGCAGGATGAGGAGGACGAACAGCTTGCTTCTAACCTTCAGGAGGAGGGTGAGGAGAGCGAGGAGAGCAACAGCGAGGTCGCTGACGAGGTGGTGTGCTTCTTGACGGAGGAGATGATGGAGAAGGTCTTCAAGAAGTATGACACGACCAAGGACTTCAAGCAGGGCATCTTGGACACCACCGACCCGAAGGAGTTTGAGACTATGATGGAGACCGTCCAGTCCTTGGTGGATGGTGAGATAGCGAAACTTCGCACGTTGTCACAGGCGAAGTTGAAGTTGGAGGTCCTCATCAAGAATGAGAAGAAAAAGGGCAAGAACGTTGAGAAGGGCGCCTCGGAGCAGAATAAGAAGGGTAAGTCTCTCTACGATATTGTCATCAACTACAACGGGCGAGACTATCACCTTCAGTTGAGGGGTCGTGCTACATTCAAAACGCTCCGTGGGCAACTTCGTGCTCTGTATCCAGAGACGTTTGTGAGTGAGACAATGTTCAAGAAGGTGAATTTCACGGTCGTGGGCATGGACAAACCGATGTCCTCAACAGGTCGCACGGAGATGCTTGCTTGGGGTGCTGCTCAAGGACGTCCTTTGGTCATTCGTGCTGTGGATGGTGCTTCCGCCTCTTCTTCGTCAGCGGGTGCTTCCAAGGCGGCAGGTCCAAAACCGAAGAGCAAGAAGGACAAGAAGGATGAGCAGTAGAAGTGTCTTATAGCATCAAGATGGGAAACCTCACTGTGAAAAGACCTCTGAAATAGATGTTCATGTGTTCTCAAAATTACACAGCTGGTTGAACTCAGAGTTTGTGAGGAACTCATCCCATGCTTCCTCTGAACAGACCTTTGAGACTGAAGGCATCACACCGATGGACAAAAGGTGTCTGCCGAGAATGCTATTTGCTCTTTAGCATTTGAGCCACACAGACTGTCGCAATATTTGAAGTCTCAATGTCTTGTTTGCGTTCTAAAGCACTGACTGACCGCCATGTTGTCAAAACCGAGCACCACTACAAGTTCGGTCAAGAAGGGCAACAGGGAGCACTATGCCACTAGATACAAGCGAGAGATTGAGGAAGAGAAGAACAGGAACCGTTTGATGGTGGAGTTTTTGCAGATGAAAGGCATGATGACAGAGTTCCATCAGCACACCGCAGATGAGACGTCACCGTTTCCTTCGGTGACCACTTCTTCAGCAGGACAACAAGACCAACAGCAGAACGATGACAACGAGCAACAAGGGTCAGATGACAACTCCAACGGTGAAGATAGTGGAAACGATGACCCAGACGACAGCGACAGTGGCGATTTCTTTGACACCAAGGAGGACTTCGTCATCTACCTTCAGTTGAATGCAATCGGCATCCATATGACCAAACCGTTCCATGTCAATCCTTCGTGGCAGTTGAAGGTTCTGAAGTGCCTTCTCTTCAACAACTTCAAGGTCAAACCGTCGTGGGTTCGTTTTACATCGTTTAGCGGAAGAGATTTACATGACCATCTGACTTTCACTACCAACGGTGTCAAAGACAAGGATGTGCTACTGCTTCAAGTCTGCGGGCGAGGAGGTGGCAAACGCGGTCAATCAGGTGCGGTGAAAGCAGAGTTGAAGGAGCTGAAGGAGAAGATTGCTTCAAAGTTGTTGCGTCTGAGCGGAACCACCTGCCTGTCCCCTTCAATTGCCAATGCTAAGAATGAGGTTGTCGGCATTGCAAAGTTGTTGGAGGAAGACCCAAAGCGCATTGTCTCCCTGATTTTGGACAAGATGGACGCGACTAAGATGAAGAGGTTGTCAAAAGAGGTTTTGGTTTGCTCAACACGTGCCACCGAGAGAACCCGAAAGTCCAGTGAGATTGTCTTCAAGGAGTGCTTTGACAGTCTAGACGAACTTGACCATCAGAGGACTACTGTAATCGCGCTTCTCCACGAGATGATGCACTACTGTTTTGTGGTGCAGTTTGGTGATAATGCTTCGAACATCTCTTGGTCTGACTTCTGCGAGTGTCTCACGGACTTTCTTACCAGTGAAGACGCTGACGAAGATGTCGGCGTTGCTAGTTTGGGTTTTGGCAACCTTCGGATGTCTTCCTAGGTGGTTTTGACACCCGCTGTATTGCTTCCCTCATGTTGTGGTATTGCTCCGCCTTTTTGCAATCGAGAACGTTCTGTATTGCAGACCAATGCGCGCTTATTGCGCAATACCGCAATAAGACCCATTTAGTAGCAAATGTAATTGTCCGAGGTGTTTATTTCAATCTTGGAGTTTCCATATTGCAGAACACGCGTTTCTGTATTGCAAAACCATGCATTTGACCGTTTCAATACCGGAAAGTGTATTTTGCAATACCACAATAAACCATGACGGAACACTCCGTATGATGCGCCTATCTGTACAGAACTTGGTGTGCCATCATTCATAGACGTTGCTTGGAGACAAAAACACAGTTATTGGTTGTTGCTGTTTGCGTTCGGATTGAAGAGAGGTAGAAAAAAGACATTGATAGTCTCCGCACCTGCCGCACGTCTGAGGTTATGAAGTCATCCTGCTCTTTGCCTACGACGCTACCAACTTCTAGGTTCTGGGAAGAGGTGGGTTCGTCCTTGTTCCCCTTTTGAGGGTCTTAAAACAAACAAACAAATATTTCACTAATCAACTCGACGGGGATTTTGTATAGGTCTTCCTGTTTATGTTTGATGAATCCATCACCCCAACAATCCCTTTTTCCTGAAGGTAACCGTTGTGCTGCCGAGCAACCCTACCAACCCTACCATCCCTACCAACCCTACCAACCCTACCAACCCTACCGACCCCGCATCCATCCCGCTTGTCAGAAGGTCCGACCTCATTCACATCTTAGGCAGGTTTCTCGGGTACGGGATAATAACAATCCTAATAAAACCATATACAAACCAGTATAAATACAAAAAACTATAAAACAAGGCGAAACTCTCGCGATTTTTTTTATTTTGAGGTCTCTCACAAACCCGTTTGTTTGTAAATGTTCGGTGATTTGGTCCTTTCCTTGTTTTTCAAAACCCTTGTTTTTCCCCATGAAATCCATCAAAATTAAAAAACATAACGAAACATAAAATCACAAAAACGGAGTTGAGAAAATCAAGAACTTTCAAATTTGCGACCAAACCTGAGAGCCCGAACCTGTCCCTGAAAATAATTCTAATAATTTCATATTATTAGAACTATTTAGATAATTATTTTATGGAATAATGCCCATAAGGCAGCGAAGTGAAAGCATCAATATAAAACCTTTTATTTTCATAATTACTGAGAGATTGCTTGACTTGAGACATTGAAAATAATTGATGGTTGCGACTCCTAATAAAATTATATGTGATTTCATGCTTTTTGTTTTGATATAATGCTTCGTGGTAGTTCTGATACGACAGTTCTTTTTTCACTTTGTGTTTCACTACACCTTTTGATTTCTTATGTTCATCAACCTCACCGTGAATTGTGAAGGCATATGATTTAGGTTTCAATCCGATGAATTTAGTAATGATTTTTCCATTGACTTCATCTTTGTACATTCCTAAGACCTTTTTATTAGTTTTGTCATGACATGGATGCTCAACAGGATAGTCGCTAAAATCCATGTGTTGCTTTATATCATTGAAATCCTTATAGACATCATCAGTCATTGTTTGAATTACATAACTGTCAGTATCAGTATATATCAATTTGATGTTTTCATTATACTTCTTTTTCAATACATCATAGTAAAACTGATACATATGTAATTTGCTTAAATCTAAAATGCTCATTCCTAAGAAAATCGGTTTATCCAGTTTCAGTTTTGCTTTAGTTTTCTCAACTCCGACGAGATTTTCATTAATAATAAATCTATTTTTGAAAGTTGGATTATTAACGCATTTTTCATATCTAACTTCATTATCCACCAGTTCAAAGTCCATATGGTTTCGCTTGTCTTCCATAGTTTTTCCGTACACCGCGTTATTCATTAATTTGAATAAATCTTTCTCAAAATCGCTTTTGGCTTCTTTCCTTTTACCAGTGTTGAAGTCAATCCACGGTTTCAACCATGCCCTCTGTTGAAATTTTATTATCCTATGGACTTTACCCATTTTCATTCCCATTTTCAAATAATACTGTAAAGTCTTAATATGAACCACATATTTTTCTTTATCCTTTAGATTTAATATTAACTTACTTGTTTTCTCGTCCTTGGGACTTTTACCATCATAATATATTTTGAAGACTTGCTTTTGATAATCGGAAAGCATATTCACATTTACATTCATTATTTCAGGCGCTAGTGGATAGTCAGAGTGGAAATCATGCAATGTTTCGGGATATTCCAAATCAACTTCCATAATATAACCGAACTCATCGTTTTCATTCCATTTTTCAACAATGGGAGTTTTCTTTGCCCAC